CGTACGATGGGAGCTTCCATCTTTAATCTTAAGACACTTAAACGTACGCGCCATTTCGTGGCAACTTTTATAACGATCCCAACGAACATTCCTTCGAGAAGGTTCCTGATACCATCCCTGTGCCTTCCACTGTTTCGGCCCGTATGTGAACACATTTGGGACTAACAGGGTTTACTAGAATCCCACCACTCCACCACAGAGTCACCGCAGTAGACGTGAGATGAGCGCTGTCGCTCCGCGGCACTTGTTATAAATAACATGTTGGTGTCGTTACAATGTGTATGGTTGGCGGAAAATATGATGTGTGTTTGTAAACCGACATATGGTTAGACTAAATTGACAAACCGTACACTATAATAACTAGCAGAATTCGCGAACAATTCACTGGCTCATTACCATACCGTTGCAGGGCCGCAGGCTGAGCAAATTCCTAGGGATCAAAATTTGATGACTCAACTGTGTAACGATGAGCGACGGGCGCAGCTCTTGTTCGACGTACATAGTGTGGTAGAGGTGGGTCTAAGACAAGGCTTTCACGGATAAGTGACAAAAAAATCACGTTAGAGTTATTTACGATTATAAGTTAAGCTTATTTTTAATTTTGCTCCAAAATCTAGGGGGCAGCTGCCCCCTTGCCTCCCACAGGCTACGGCTCTGCGTTGATAGCTGCCGTGATACGAACAGGTTGCGAAACGTGCCTATACGTTCGTAATAATGACTTTCTTTACCGGCTTAACGTACCGGCTTTACCGGGCTCCGGACAAACGGACGCGTCCCTTAAAGGCCTCCTTTAGTGATGAAAAATAGTTACATATATCAAATTATCTATGTTATGTACAACTACTAAGAAATTTACAGGTTGAATGGTTTTCGGGTGTATGAGAAAAACGCATTTTTTGATGGACACAATGTTAAGAATTTGCGGGAACGCAAAAGCGCCACTTACTTTGGCGCGTGACGTAGTGTGACGTGGGAGCAGGCACTCTCGCTTGTTTACATGTTGCCAAGCGTGTACAATGGAGCCTGTACAATGTACAATGTGAACACCGATTCAGAGTCGTCTCTAGAATAATATCGGTTTCGTACGATACGGATGAGCAGTCAATCAGGATTGATGAAGATGAAAATGAAGTAGACATAGACAATGAAGTTGAACATGTTGAAGATAGTTGTATTCAGCCGCGTACATGTTTGAACTGTTGGCCAACAATTTCCCAGGCATCGTTTAAGGTAGCTCTAGTACTATAGCCCGCGTTCGATTAACTGCCGCAGGGCTATAGTACATTGTCGGCTGGAAATACCAACTGCAACCTGTTACCACCTGTCCCCATGAAAAATGGATCGTAAAACGCAAAGTTATCGGGCTTTTTAACACTTATTTATCTACATGGACATCTCCATCTCATTCATCTTTTTGAACACTTTCAACAACTTTACACGATGTATTTGTCCTTTTATTCCACAAAGTAAGCACTACTGTCATTTCATTTGGGAGCGAAGTGGCGTGCGCACGCGTGACGTTACCGGATATGTACGCAAAACACATGGCAGCTATGGTGCATGTATTATTCACGGGGGTGATGGGGTGAACTCGCGCTGTTGTTGCTTGGCAACGTGAGTAACTTTTTCATGGGGACAGGTGGTAACAGGTTGCAGTTGGTATTTCCAGCCGACAATGTACTATGGCTACGTTCAAGGCAACCGTGTCAAGGCAAGTTCGATGCCTTGTTCAAGTTCGTTGCCAATGTTCAAGGCAACGTCGAACCAGAAGGAAGACTGCTGAATGGAAGTGTTGCTGAATGGTGAGCACAGATTATGCAACTATCAGATTTCCCATTCAACAGTACTGACTAATTTTCTAAAGAGATTAGCCTCAGTACTACAGTAGGCCTGAGCCGCCTGACTAAAGAAAAGCAAAGCTGACAATAGGCGCGTTCACACACAAGAAAAACCGCGCTGCTCAGCCCGCTAATAGCGGAGATAATAGTGAGCTAATTGTGTCGTTGTTCACACAGGCGAATATCTCGCTAATCGCCGCGGTGCAAATATCACGCCACGGTGCAAATAAGCGCGCTGATTCCAAATTAGTGCAGTCGGAAGTGTTCTTTATTTTGAGCGCGATTTAGTGAGCACTTGTAAAAAGCTCAGTTTTTCGAGCGGGCTGCAAAAACCGGGGTTTGCAGCCCGCTAATTCGCGCCAGTGTGAACGCACCTAATAGTCAATAGTAAATGTTTTAGCGTAGTGGAAATTATGACAGGACTTAATACGTAGAATTTATGCACTTGATAATAGTAACAATGTTATTTCACGTGTAATGTGCACTTAGTACTTGTATCGTAAGAAACTCAGTGTATACAGTACGAGTATAATAATCAATATATGCATGTAGTGTTTAACCCTGAGGTCAGCTGTAACGCAGCCTAACTAACCACGGTACACGAACATAAACAGAAAGTAGAACAGAAACGTATACACTGTGAGCAGATTAGCATGAGCTGAGTAAAGCAGCATATGGTTGGAACCGATTTTATTGTCTGAGTATTAAGGTGGTTTAATCCGGTAGTAAAGTCTACAATGCATATATATGATAATTAATATGGCAGTTGGATGTTTATGCCGAATATGAGTCACGACATACTGCAAACAAAATATTATAAGTTACAGCCGAGGATAGCTTTGTGCTCATGCACTGATGCAGGCTTTGTGTGCGGCGCAACGTGGGAAGAACCTGCTCTCACGTCACAGCCGTTTTCCCGCCAGGTGGCCAGTTTGGCAGAAGATTTGATTTTCAACATTCATAGACCCAACATAAAGACGTTTTAAATATCACAGAGGCAAGCTCAGGCAACTAAAAAACATACGAATGCTTTGGTTATTTACGTTATGATACTAGCATCAAATAATTGTAAAATTTAGACTGTTTATAGATATCACTAAAGGAGGCTTTTAAACTAAACATGTCGTTGAAAAGCAAACTTAACACACGTTATGCATTCACCACTTAAGCGGGACCACCGCTAAATCGGGATGTTTGCATGGTTACCGACCACGTTAAAACGAGGACGACTATAGTAAATAATTATACAAACTCTCACAAGATGAAAGAATATAACAAATGCGCGAAGAAATACACGCTCCCGGGACGAACAACAAATCGCTTCATTTCGATAAAAAAAACTTTGCAGCTTAAATTTCTAAACAAATCGCTTCATTTCGATAAAAAAGCTTTGTAGCTTAAAATTTTAAACAAAACTCGCGACCGTTTCAACTCGCGACGCCTCCTAATAATAACGATTGAGTGTATACGCATAATTTCCCTTGTTTCTCGCACCACCCGCGAGCAGTCTGCGATATATCGTCTCGAGTAACGCACGGGGGACACGCGTTGTCGCTGGCCCGGGTACCGCTGGAGCAACGACGAAATTATCACCGACAGCATTTCGGTAGTACTTCGGCCAACGACCACCGCCGGCTCGTAGCGTAGCGCGCAGCGGCGGGAGCACGTTGTTGGTGTTCCCGCGGGAGCTCGCTCGAGCGACCGCGGGCTGCTCGTGCTGTCGGCGCCCTGCGCTCGCTCGAGCGACCGCAGGCTGCTCGTGCTGTCGGCGTCCTGCGCTCGCTCGAGCGATCGCGGGCTGCTCGTATTGTCGCCGTCCTGCGCTCGCCCGAGCGACCGCGGGCTGCTCGTGCTGTCGGCGTCCTGCGCTCGCTCGAGTGACCGCTCGCTGCTCGTGCTGTCGGCGTCTTGCGCTCGAGGTCGTTTGCCCCGCGAGTTGGACTTGACGCCCCACCGCTGGACGCCTCGCGTCTGACGACGACGAGGACTGATCCGGCTGGAGAGTGTAACTATTAGCGAGACGACGTCGCACGCGTTCCATGGCGTTCGGTCGGCTAGATAGTCGGGCTTTTATCGCGGCGTATTTTTCGGCGTTCAGTAGCGCGTCGTTCGTCGTCGTCGTCGTCGTCGTCGTCGTCGGTGCGCGAGAGTCGGTTGCGTCAGTGAGTCGTGCAGCATTAGCTACGCGCAGCAGTACCGGTACGGGCACGGGCGCGGCGGTAATCGCAGAAACGACCGCTGATTCGGAAGACTCGACGGCGTTTAGACCGGCCGGATCCGTATCCGGTCTCGCGTCTTGCTGTCGTGTATTCTCGATGCTCGCTCGAGCGACCGCGGGCTGCTCGTGCTGTCGGCGTCCTGCGCTCGCTCGAGCGACCGCAGGCTGCTCGTGCTGTCGTCGTCCTGCGCTCGCTAGAGCGACCGCGAGCTGCTCGTATTGTCGCCGTCCTGCGCTCGCTCGAGCGACCGCGGGCTGCTCGTGCTGTCGGTGTCCTGCGCTCGCTCGAGCGACCGCAGGCTGCTCGTGCTGTCGGCGTCCTGCGCTCGCTTGAGTGACCGCTCGCTGCTCGTGCTGTCGGCGTCCTGCGCTCGCTCGAGCGACCGCGGGCTGATCGTACTGTCGGCGTCCTGAGCTCGCTCGAGCGACCGCGGGCTGATCGTACTGTCGCCGTCCTGCGCTCGCTCGAGCGACCGCAGGCTGCTCGTACTGTCGGCGTCCTGCGCTCGCTCGAGTGACCGCTCGCTGCTCGTGCTGTCGGCGTCCTGCGCTTGAGGTCGTTTGCCCCGCGAGTTGGACTTGACGCCCCGCCGCTGGACGCCTCGAGTCTGACGACGACGAGGACTGATCCGGCTGGAGAGTGTGACTATCAGCGAGACGACGTCGCACGAGTTTCATGACGTTCGGTCGGCTAGATAGTCGGGCTTTTATCGCGGCGTATCTTTTGGCGTTCAGTAGCGCGTAGTTTGTCGTCGTCGTCGTCGTCATCGTCGGTACGCGAGAGTCGGTTGCGTCTGTGAGTCGTGCAGCATTAGCTACGCGCAGCAGGGCCGGCACGGGTACGGGCACGGGCGCGGCGGCAATCGCAGATTCGGATGAATCGACGGCGTTTAGACCGGTCGGATCCGTATCCGGTCTCGCGTCTTGCTGTCGTGTATTCTCGATAATCGATGATCGCGCGCGTGTCGCCAGCGTGTTACCGACGTTGCCGACGAGTTTTCGCGCGGGTCGCCGACCGGCCGACGCTGCGGGCGTTCTGCCTCTGCCAGCATCGTTAGACGGGTCGGCGTTGTAAAGCCGGTTACGTCCTACGGTGATTCTCAGCGGTGACAGCTGACGACCGCGCGTACGACGATAGCGGTTGATGTCCCCAAGCTTTCGCTTGCCACCCTTCGGTCTGGCGGTCGTTTCTGTATCGGGTGGGCGGGAATCACCGCCCGCTAACCGAGCAGCGAGAGGAGGTTGAGGATGCAGCAGTTTGCGGTCGACGTCGCGGCCATCTTGTTGAAACCTCACCGTCGCGAACACGTCGAGCAGCAGGCGCGCATGCGCAGCTAGTGCAGCACGCGCGTCGCCGACCGTGACCAGATTCACGTCGGGCGATGCCGACACGACTATGATGGCTTCGTGACTTCTGCTAGCGACGAGCGGCTTGTATATGCCGCTTCTCAACTCTTTACCCGCCGCCAGCTGAACGGTGGGCGAGTTGATGCGGCGATAGACGCGATTTCCCAGCTGAGCCGAACCCCGGACTACTTGCTGAAACATCGCCGATATCGGCTCGACGTCGCCAACGTCTCTCAAACGCCCGACGTGCAACACCGAATCGGTGTGAGAAGAATGCCTTACGCGATCGGAGGTGCCATCGCTGTTGGTGAGCAGGAGTTGCTGCACCGACGGGGTATTCAACGCGTTGATTCTGCTCGCATTCGCCAGTAGTGTGTTTCTTGCGCTAGCCAACGCTGCTGCTGCATCCGGCTCTTCTTTCGTCGGCGTGAGAAAGGGTTTACTGCCCGCGTCGGTGGGGTATGCGTAGACAGCGGAATGGCGTAAGCTCGCTCCTCGCGCTGCCGCCTGCAGACGAGAGAAACGGTGAGTTTACGATTACCGTTCTATAGTCCTATAGTTCTATAGTACTAATATAAATTTTAATATAAATAAAAAACAAAATTAAATTAAAAAAACAAAATTAAAAAAATTAAATTAAAAACCAGTTCAATTTGCATTCACTCTCTACCCCTCTTACTATTAACCGTAGGACCAACGACCCGTAGGGACAACGACCCGTAGGACCAACGACCCGTAGGACCAATTACCCGTATAGGACTATAGATTGGTACCCGAATTGATGTGGGTGGCATCAAGAGCGCATTAACCCCGGGGTTAATGCGCTCTTGGTGGCATGCACCACGAGAGTTTACCGGTTTACGATAAAACACACATCAGTTGATATCTCATCTGGTGACGCGCTGTGGTGTGGTGTGGTGTGTTGTGTTGTGGTGTGTTGTGTTGTGTTTTGTTGGGTTGTGTTCTGTTGTGATGTGGCGAGTTGTGGTGTGGTATGGTGTGTTGTTTTATGTTGTATTGGGTTGGGTTGAGTTGCATTGTGCTGCGTCGTGTTGTTTTGCTGTGATGTGGTGAGTTGTGGTGTGGTATGGTGTGTTACGTTGTGTTGTGATGTGTTGTGCTGTGCTGTTTTAATTGTGTTGTGTTGTGTTGTGTTGTGTTGTGTTGTGTTGTGTTGCATTGTGTCATGTTGTGTTGTGTTTCATTGCGATGCATTGCATTTTGTTGTGTTGTGTCGTTGGACTAAAACTGTACTAAATCAACTTTCGGTCGTCCCTAAAAGTAATCTTAAGATAGGTTTTCGCTTTTTATCACTGCCAAATCGACATGGTAACGGTTCCTAAAATAGCTCAGGTACCGACCGGCGCGCGAGTTCATTTAGGTTTTACTAATAGCTTGGTCATTTGTCTCGTGTTTCAAGAGGGTGCCGTCAGTGATTAGAGCTAGGTTTTACTAATAGCTTCGTCATTTGTCTCGTGCTTCAAGAGGGTGCCGTGAGTGATTAGATTTAGATTGTACGTATAGCTTGACCACTCGTGAATTTTCTCAACTATCTAAAAGGTGTGTGATTAGATTTTGGTTTTACTGATAGGTTGACCACCTTTTTTATATAAATGAAATAATTTCAGTCCGTCGTTTTAATAAAACACGGTGGTTCTTAGTCGCGTTCAGTTTAGCGATCCGATCAAATAGCGTGGGGTGATGGATATTATATATATGAGATGAGGCATCGGTAATATGCTCCTTGCTCTGCATATTTGAGTCACATCTTCCTGCTGCAAAATCGTTTTCTTTCCAGTATTTTTCCTTGGGTTTCTCGACATATTGATCACTACCGATACTTACCCGCTTCATCTCATTTTATCTCGTGCGCCACTAATATAGGCTACACTTATTTCAATAAATTCTAGAGACAGTTTTTATCGCTTACTCTAACACTTGCGGTACATAAGCGCACGTGTATCTCCTTTGCCACTCAGTTTAAATTCAAATATATGAGAACGAATGATAAAGATAATATAAATATAACAAAGTTAATAATAATTATATATAGTTATATATTGTGTTGGCTTAAGCGCAATCCATCCCGCCAAAATGTTGAAGTTATTTCGCAACCATGAACGCGAAATATTTCTTAACATTTATAACGCGTTTTTTTTCATCTAAATGGCGCATTTAAAATTGGATATAACAGTTCAAATCTGAAGTGTGCCGATGCCAGAGAAACGCACGGACAATCCACGCAGCGTAGCTAGCCTATCTCATGTACTTACCACCACGACGCCGAGTAGGCCTACTAGCAGCGCGAACTTTCTAAACACGTTCATGCCACTATATACATCCAACCACACGACAGATCGTTTTTTTCACGAGAGAGAGAGAGAGAGAGAGAAAGCGACGGACGCGTGGCATCTGACTATCGACACTAAACGCTAACGATTGCCTGTTTATATACCTCGCGCCACATCTTCCGCGATCCGTGACGACCCGTGGACCATCGTTTGTCACACGTAGAACATATTAGCCCTGTTAGGAATGTCTCTGCATACTATCGGCTCTCTGGCACGACCATGCAACAAAAAATACGACAAAATACCCTCAACATAAGTATAGTATTAATGTGCCAGAGGCTATGGTAACAGACATAGAATATTTGTGTGTGTCCGTGTGAAGGGGGGGGGGGTGCGCCACGTTTTCAATTTTCTAGGCCTCCACTGAAAATTTTCTCTTAGTCTACAGAGTCTACATCGTCATAGCCCGACGAAAATTTACCGGTTTAATTAATATTAGTACCAAAAAGAAGTAGTAATATTTTAATAATGTTTTTAGTTCAAATTTTGATATGGCAATGTATTACAGATTTTAAAATTGCAGAAAATTCTTTATCAACCTAATAATAATAATCGTGATGATTTAGAGTCGTAGACGATGACGATGATGATGATAATAATCTAATAATAATAATAATAATAATAATAATAATAATAATAATTAACAGCTTATTGTAGCTATACTATGGATCTCTCACAATCCACGCGTACATTACGACCAATCCCACGGGTTTGTAGTTTTCTAGAGGAAATACAGCGAACCAGAGAACCAGGGAAACAGGAGAGAGGGTTATTGAATTTCCAAGTTAACGTTTGAGTTTATGGTCTCTCCCTCTTACTCTCTCTCTATATATATACATATATAAGGTTATATTAATTATTTACCTACTCACTGGCAAAAAAATTATACAGGTTCTTAGCGTTCTCACAGAACGACGCTCATCTCTCGTTAGAATAAGGATGTGAAATCGAGTGCGGAAATGACCTAGAACTACGGTTAGCAACCCGGGTAATTTCAGATATAAGATTTCGAAGCAATTCCAGAACAATTTGGGAGCGATTGGGAGTGACGAGTCGCTCAAAATCAAAAAGGTTTGATTTCTTGCAACTCGTTGCAAGCGACCAGAATCGCTACGGGTTGCAGTTGCACGTTCCCGCAGACGTAGCGATTTCACAGCAATTTTTACACGATTCTTAGAGTCGCTGTCGAGTTGCATGAAAAAGTCGCAGGTCTGCGCTAGGCTTTACGAGCAGTAACTCTTGTAGCCAAGCGCAAAAGACGTAAAACGTAAAAACATGGGGGCATTGACATGGAAACATGACGTTCCTCAAACTACGGCTCATTATGTGACTAATTGTGGCTCAAATTGGCTCGTTAAGGGGATTGTAGACGGGAACGGAGGAGCTCGATCATTATCTCAGATAATGAAATTGGCCCGATCCCGCGTCCCTAAAATAATCGTTTCATCCTCTATGTGATGTTAAATGTTTATGTTATGTATATTATATGATGTTCTTATTCATCGTTATTCTCGTAAATAATTTGCTTTATATCTAAATTAGATTTTCGAAATTAGAATTTAGAAATTAGATCTAAATTAACTTTAAATTTGCACGGCTATATTATTATTTACGACAAGAAGGGTCGCGCACCGTCAAATCTGGACCTCTCGGTTGTTAGGTCCAGCTCTGATTTCACGTACAAAGAACTATAACTATATATGTGCGTAAATATTGTTCATGAAGCAAGAATCGTCAGCTTAAGGTGTACGCGTTCGGTTACCGAGGCGTGTGTGAGTGATTGCCTGCGCGCTAGCATACGTGCGAGTGCGTTCATGGCTTCATCTATGTTGTGTGTGTTGTTTTTTGTGCGTGAGAAAGAAAGAGCGTGTGGACAATTTAATGGGTGCTAATTAATTTGCCAATTTGTATGTCGAGCAGACGACCTGAACTTTCCTGCAGAGAGTTTACCTGCAGGGGATTGATGGATATCCTGCCAGGCGTGTCAATGATACTTTGCTTAGGTTAGATAAATGAAGGCCGGCCTGTGGCGCTAAAACAAAACAGGAATTCCGATTGCCGCCGCGTAGTTAACCGGCTGTGAGTCTCTGAACTTTTCTCGCGGTCTGCCAGTAATATGTGCCTATTTATTACAAATGTTGATAAATCAAGCGTCACGCCAACGGGTAGGTTGAATGTTAACACTTTACGTGATCCCCTCGCCGCGTGGATAGCACGAGACTCTTTTAGTTTTACAACATAGAAAAAATACGGTTATGGTGTTGTTAACTCATTGCGGTCGAATTGCCGCAGTATACGTGCCGTGTTTAGTTACATTCGTTCTTTTCTATGTAAGCAAATACTTGCAACCATTGCCGTAAGAAATAGAAGTAAATCTGGGAAAAAAGCTTCAATTTATCTTTTTTTTAAAGAATAACTAACAGCAGTCCTTTACCATATTATTTTAGCTATACTGCAGAATTACTATCAATAAATCAGGTTTGATACTTATACTACACATATTTTTATTACAGCGATTTATTTCACCGCATCCCCGTTTCCTCATTACCCGACAATTTCGATTATTACGTCGGATAATTGATACTTATGCATATGCGTGCGTGCGTGCGCGCGTGCGTGCGCGCGTGTGTATGTATGTGGTTTTTTATAGTCGCGTTCACACGTAGCAAGAAATCCGGTATTTAGTGTTCACACGGGGCAAAATGCGCGGTCCAAGAAATACGGTATCTAAACAGAACCGGTATTTGATGTAAATACGAGGTTTCCCAGACCCCGAATAATTTGCCGTGCTTGAGAAATACCGGATTTCTTGGACCGCGCATTTCCTCGTGTGAACGCTAAATACCGGATTTCTGAAGCCGCGTATTTTATCGACTGGTCCGCGCTCGACAGTTCCAGTGTAACGCGTGTGGAATTGTCGAGCGCGGACCAGTCTACGTATTTTTTATCGGCAGTTAGTGGGCATTGCATTGTTTATTTCGCATTGTTCGCTTGATCGCCTTGGTTTAAAGCAGCTCGCAGCTCGCAAATACCGTATTTCTGGAGCCGCGAATCAGCGTGTGAACCCTCGGCCGCGTATTTGTCTCAGATTCGGTATTTCGCAAATACCGTATTTCATAAATACGAGGTCTCTTGTGAACGAGGCTAATGTATTTCGGTGAGTGCGTGCGTGCACGTGTGTGTACGAAATGTGTTTCTTTTTGTGTTTCGGTGAGTGCGTGCGAGCGTGCGTGCTCGTGTGTGAATAAACGTGTTTATTTTTGTGTTTCGGCGAGTGCGCGCGTGTGCAATGTCGGCATGCAATACCAGAGACAAGCAATTCCGATGTCAAATAAGCAAACTCGCTCGCACCTTACACGTAAGCATGCAGAGTGGCACCGATCACGACAGACCACAGGAGACGGAGGAAGCGGAGAAGTGATAAAGAAGGATACGATGTAGTTGTCGTAATTTTTATAAAACGTCAAGCTTGTTGCAATGCCAACGAGCCCACGTTTACTGCGGTGGTTATAGGTACTACACACAGGCCTATAGCTTCGGGGCGAAACGAGCAATTACTTAAGCCTAGCGCAGACCTGCGATTTTTGGTTGCTCGTCGCTGCAACCTGCAACCGTAAGCGATCGGTCGATGTGTCGCCGCGTGTGCGCACACATGCGATTTCGAAGCAATTCCAGAACAATTTGGGAGCGATTGGGATTTGGGAATGACGAGTCGCTCAAAATCAAAACAGTTTGATTTCTTGCAACTCGTCGCAAGTTACCAGAATCGCTACGGGTTGCAGTTGCACGTTCCCGCAGACGTAGCGATTTCACAGCAATTTTTACACGATTTTTAGGATCGCTGTCGAGTTGCATGAAAAAGTCGCAGGTCTGCGCTAGGCTTTACGAGCAGTAACTTTTGTAGCCAAGCGCAAAAGACGTAAAACGTAAAAACATGGGGGCATTGGCATGAAAACATGACGTTCCTCAAACTACGGCTCATTATGTGACTAATTGTGGCTCAAATTGGCTCGTCAAGGGGATTGTAGACGGGAACGGAGGAGCCCGATCAGACATCGAAGAAGGGATCGGACATTATCCCAGTGTCCCAGGTAAAAAGTATATGATATTCCTCAGTTCCCAGTTATTTAAAATCTTATTTTCGGCTTTCCCGCCTGCCGGTTGACTTATATGTCCGAATCGCGAAAAATTTATCCGGCATTTCCCGATTCTCAGATAATGAAATTGGCCCGATCCCGCGTCCCTAAAATAAGTCCCGCGTCTCCTTTTGCCCTGGTCGCGGCGCCCAGCTATGTAGCGTGCGCGACTCCGTCGAAGAAGCCGACGTGATCGTGACCCTCGTTAGCGGTACCAAACTATGTAGCATGCGCGCTACCCGACTAGTCTGCCTCCGCTCAGTTTTCTTCTCTCTGTCGTACCCTTTACACGGGCTTGATAGGGCCCGTGCGCGCGTTGTATTGTCCTACTCTGTATCGCAGAGCCTAATTCCCCTCCGTCGTCTACACCCGACGTCAGCTCGTAAAGGAAAAGCGTGCCGAAGACGTGAAGTTCAGAAAGAGGGCCGAAGATAGAAGTTGAGTAATAATATGACGGGACAAGCCCGGCTGTTTATTACGGGTTGACACCCATACGCACCAATCTTCCAATACACACACAGGCAGAGAACCATTGCTCGGCTACACACACACAATAAGCGCGGCGCCACTATTCCGACTACTGTACCACTCTCGCAATGAACTCGCTCGACTCTCGGCTGCCCGCTAACAGCTAACTCGAACTGTTGCTCGCTCTTCTAACTAACTCTCCTACACAGGAAATCTCGTTGCGTTAAGATTTCAGTTCGGTGTGTCAGCTGATGTGATCGTATAGTCAGATGTAGTTTTCTAAACCTTGCGTTGTGTTATTAATTGTTCTTAACCCGTTGTTCCGTTTCGTGTTTGCTCCCAAGACGCGCTCTGATATTTATGGGTGTTGCTATCCCCCGGGCGTGGAGGGACGGTCACGTGATACAGTTGACGTATACTTCAAAACTTATGGGTGTTGCTATCCCCCGGGCGTGGAGGGACGGTCACGTGATACAGT